TATGCTTTAAACTGAATCGCTTCTGTTTTCCCCTTGAAGTTTGCCCGAAATTTTTTTCCTACGTTTATCTAGCTTAACAGCTAAGTTTCTATACGGACGCGTCAGGATCACTTTGGTCGTGGTTAATAGGGCTAAAGGTGAATGACGGGTTGAACGCTAGCGATACCTCGACTCCACAAAATCGTGATCGGATTACTAATCTGGCGAGCAAGCCACGGCACAAACACTGGTCTTTATTTAATAGGATAGACATTTCACTTCCACTTTTTAAGGAGATATCCGGGAATGGGATACTTTTCCAGGTGGAGTGCAGCGGTGGTATAGGTGTGAAATATGAAGTATATACCGAATACCTGATGCTTTGGGAACTTGATATACGGCAAAGTGGTGTAAAACAATGCCGGTAGTCGGTAGCTGAATTGCCGCCCTAATCGCTGTATTTGAAACATATAAGAGCTATCGGACTCAGACTTAGTCTCCGAGCTTAGGAATATCGCATATACACACAATGTATTTAGGACCTTGTAGCTGAACAAAGTCAATGATTTATTAGCCATTATTACCCGCCCGTTGAACTGCACGTGTCACTTGGACCTTTCGGTATTGTTCCTTTGGACCCAGGACCAACTTATTAGTAAATGGCTGATCGTCGTTAAATATTACGCCAATCTGGCAACTGTTTAGCCTAACTTTGACATAATATTCCTTCTCGCCAACTTAAGTTAATTTCGAGTGAAAAACTTGATCTTAACGTAACATCGCGTTTGATATATCGACACAATACACAATGGTTTGATATAACGACTTTGATATAGATACAAATGCATAGTTCATAAACTTGAGATAATATCGCGCGATGTATCAACTCGAAATACTATCACGCGAGTATCGACTTTTGATAATATCGACCCAGAACATCGGACCTGAGACAATACACTGTATAATTAGTATTAATTATTACCCATAGTTTCAAAATATTAGTGTGATTTTTAAATATTCATATTATGAAATCTCGGGTGTCACCGAATATGTTGATGTGAACTTACACCAAATTAGTCATAGCACAACGACTTTGAACTTGGCACACTATAGTTACGCGCAGTTTATTGAGTAAACACAGCAATGACCTCCAGTACTTTCACTTGCAGGAACTTCTCGCGAATTATGGGCGATACAACTTGTCATGGCCACCAGCCATAAAGAAACCAAGACGCGATCCTTGTAGTACCATAAAAATCTTACACACATGTTTGCTTTCGAGTCTCTTAATCCGTGTCAACAAACCATAAGTCGGCAGCGTCATGCATAGGATAGCATAGGATTCAAAAACTTCAAGTGTTTATGTTTGAAAGTAAAATGCTGTGATATGTACAAAACCATTCGGTGAATACTCTAGCTATTCCTCTCATGGTGCGTACAATTCACGGCAACCCACCTACATACTAACCCATAAGCCTCTGGATAGATGTGTATACTTTGTAAATCGTTACACGATATACCTTAAGATGAAAGGACAAGTGTTTTAAGGGATTCATTGTGCGTCACTAAAGCACTTCTTTGACGACTATATTACAGAGCTCTTGTGGATACGTGTGCTCGCAAATATTCCCGAATAAATCACTTGGATTTTCTTTTAGCGAGCGGTCTCCACAAAGGCATCGCGATTAAAATAAAAGTTCTCGAGTGGACGGCTAAAAAGTTGACTTTACGTCTAAAATGAACCTCATTGGTTGTAATTCGTGATCTTTATTTCGTGTAATCCCGTGTGAGTATAATGCGTAAGTGACCCGGATATCCATGTATCCGTGGTATTTATGTAATGTATATTAATATTAACATAGATATGTCGTGTGACTGTGAATTGATGATGAGAGGGAAGGGGGGGGGGCTATGTTTAGATATGAAATAGTGTACGCAGACTGATGTATTGCAGTATTCGACTTATAATTTTCTCGTTATTAGTTAGTTTTACGTAGAATGAAATACTATCTCTGAAACCTACATTAATAAATGTACACCAGCAACCACTAGACTACAGCTCCTCGATCGCACATGCCAGGTGACAACCAAGTAGTTGGCATTGGAGTACTAACCCGAGTACCATGCCATGGCTCATGAGCGCACATAATAATGAGACAACAAGACATGTCAGCAGTTGAAGGCAGAATGAAATGACAGATAAACTACCAACTATTGATAAGGATCAGCTGACGTCTGTCAATGACAGCTATGCCACGCAAACATCTGCCCCCATAAGATCCTTGGATCTACTCATCAAGGATAACAACATGCTAATTGAACTCAAATTAAGATATGCTCATTTTCAGCGGACGGAGTAGACTATAATGGATCCCACTGTTGACGGCGCGATGGCAAAGCCGCGACGAGCAATGCAACTTGTTGATTCGACCCACTATTATAATATTTGACAAAAAAACATATCGCCGTATATGTGCGACGAGGGGGGGGGAGTCAATTAGGGTTCAATCTGGCGGGAAATTCTAATATTTGATCATAGTTGAATGACATTAGACCACCCTACCTCCGACGACATTTAGCGAAAAACAGTTTAAATTACGAAACACAGTATGAAGACCGTTATCAAGATTCTCTGAAATGGTCTCAAAACGTACGTCATTTCTCGGTGAATCAGACCAACGTGTCATTGGCTACACGATACAGGGTAGTGGACTAAAACAGCAAGTAGAAAAATAAGCATAGACTGCCACGACCATTAAAATCGAGAAGAGTTAATTAGCGGAAAGTGTTGGCAGTTAAGTACCGGCAAAGTCTGTGTAGAAATCTCCACCTTTTCATTCGTCTGAACAAAAGTTTTAGACATCCAACGCCCATCAACAGAACAAAAGAACCTTTTGGTTACTAAAAGTATGCTTGAAATTTTGTCTTTCATCCGCAAATAAGCCGGTTGTTTTGAGTCGCCACCAGCTCCAAATTCTGCCCACGATTTGTATAGCGAGTGACTGTCCCTAAAAAAAACAGTCAATAGGACATTCTGCCTCTCTTCGACAAAGGCTAATGATTCGATCTGATGGGGAGGTTACGAACTTCGCTTCAATGCCTATTATGGCAGCTAAGAAAAATAGCTCACAAAACAACTAGCTTCCACTGCTTTGTAAAACGCACTGGGTATAAAGAATCAATTTGGTTTACTGATAATAATCTAAGGTACCTCATATATATATATATATAGTAAATTGACCTGTTGGCGCAAAGAATGGGAGAAAGAATCTGTCAAACCATGAAGGCTTAAAAAAACGACACCCCGCTATACGTTTTATCGGACGGCGGTAGTGGTGTACCGACAGTGCAAAGTGTATCCAAGGGTGGAGTCTGGGTGGTGGTATCTAACGGCGACGAGAAAGGAATACACGTCGATTGCGATGTTAGATGGACCGCCTTGCAGTTCAAAAGTGAACTTGAGTTTACAAAACCTGATGGACGCACTCGAAATAAACAAAGGATGTGTTGATATATGATGTGATTATCTTTACTATGCTTCAGGAGTTTTTTTCATCACGAGGAATTTCTATTTAAAAGATAAAAAGGCGAAAAAGCATACGCTTGAAGGAACATAAAATGACGGAAATTTAAAAAAAATGAAAGCTCCAAAAGAACTTAGGTATAACTTGTCTGAGCATATACATGCCATTGTTTAGGTTGTTTTTTAAAAAAAAAATAATAATTTGATTCCCACCCATGGTCGCCTGCTGTGCTACTAGTTTACCGAAATCAAAAAAGTAAATTGCAAAGCACAATCAGTTATACGATTCACCTGAAGTGAATGTCTGAAGTCCAATAGATGAACTTTCCACTTGTTGGTCATTGCATTGGTATAGAGTATGTGACCATGGATTGTAATACAGTCAATGCGGTGGTGTGATAGACTATATACAACTAAATGCGATGCACGCATCGAATGGGCGAATACACTAACTATTGGTATATATTTTATCGAAATGAATATAGATTCTTAAGATACGTTAATTAGTGGTATAGATCCGTCATTTATGGGGGATACATCGGAATAGTTCTAATATTTGAAGAAACGATTGAGCGCCCATGAGGGCGGTTAAACATAAGCGCCGTTGCGTATCATCATCGTATCGATGCACACCATTTGTGCCTACGTGATTTAATTAGGACGCGAAGTACCCTATAAGCGTTGTTTAGAAGACCGCAGCGTTGGCAGTGCACACAACAGTAACCCACCCCCTCCGCTTGTCAACTGGAAACAGCGTTTCGTTCCGTTTCTCAGATCTAGCCCAAATCAATGTTAGCATGTTTGGCCTTCGCTAGAAATTTTATTACATACACATGCCGTTTGTGAATTCATACGCAACCCATCATAGTCTGAGTTCCGCGAAATTTCCAAATATCTGTATATCTCTCTCCATTTCAAGGCTTCAAGCGAGATCGATCCGTTGCTATATAAGTTTGGTTAGAAAAAAATGACCGTCGCAAATAAACAAGAAGCCGAATTTTCGTCGATGAATTACGAAAACTGTCTTGTTAACAATCGGTAATATATTTCCGACATACTAAAAACGTCAATTCATTATTGTTACTGTGAACCGCACGCAGTGGCGGGAGGATGGGAATAGTGGTTTGAATCTCATACATTCTTTTATAAGGGCAACATATGCGTTCTTAATGGTGTTTACCGGAATCAAACTATGTCGCAAACTGATTGGTCAATAGATGGTGTTGTTCGAAATCCATTTTGTGTTGCGTTTCGACGGCATTGTTGCCGTCATTCCAGTGAGCCCTCTGTGGTATTAAATTGCTACATCTTTATGCAGCCAAATGTAAAAGAAACTCTTAAAAAAATGTGTCCTCTTGGGGTTCGAGAAAATTACTTGTAAGTGAGCACCGAACGCTTCGCGATTTGTCATTCTTAAAATTATCTTTAATGAGTGGATAAGAACTTCAAACTCATATAACAAAATGGCGGCATTCCAACGTGGTTTAGAACTTCAACATAATAAAACCCGACGATGATACAACTTTTTGGAGAATGTTTACTGATGATAAGATCACATGTTTGCTCACGGAACCCCAAACTGACACACGTGTTCATTTCACCAACCACTCCTGGATCAATTTCACGTATATAACAAACTCGCCCGTTAAGTGTTTCCAGATTTCTCTCATTTGCGCCGTGTTTGTTTAAAGTTACTTAGCTTCTATGTATCCCCTATAAGAAAGCATTTCAACAATTTCGAGACTCTGCGTTCTGGAGTAGAGTAGATGTCCCACGGGAAGACATCTTTAAAAAGATGAAGGAAATTGGATCATAATGGTAAGGGTGCTAACGTCGATTAAGTTACTAGGTAGATAATAATAAGATGGAATACCACAGACACAACAATGTCAGGATTTCGCTCCAAGTAGGTCTGTACATAGCTAATGTTGTTTTTAAGGTCGCAGTGCGTTTTCACCGCGATGACCAGCTAGTAACATTGTACCTAAAATACAACGTCACACACGAATAGATTGTGTCTCAAGTTCAAGTAATTTGTCTTGCGTTTTAAAAATATTTAGTTATATAAAATGATGGTTACAACCGCCAACTGATTTTGCTTCAAAACTATGATAGACGAATATTGTGTGTTAGTTTTTTTGTCAGTAACTCATAAAACTAGATAAATCAGAGTAAATGCGTGTATATATTGTCAAAATAAAATAAAATAAAATAAAATAAAATAAAATAAAATAAAATAAAATAAAATAAAATAAAATAAAATAAAATAAAATAAAATAAAATAAAATAAAATAAAATAAAATTATTTTCTTCTTCATAGTTATCTGCGATAAGGTTATGAAGAATAATCCTTACTATTCAATATTTAGGAAATTTTATTCAATAATGTTACACTACCTGGAATTTTATTTCCGTTTTCTTTCGATGTTTCGTTCTGCGTCACTGAGTGTTTCTCTGTGTCCTTCTTTTCCGTGGTGCTGGTATCCAAACTCTCACCCGAGTCGCTGTGAACATGTTCTTCTTCGCCGCCAGCCTTCTCGGACGATTCCGAATCACCGCCCGCCAGACTACGAGCCATTTGGTACTGGTACAGTATGCTTTGCTCGTGGGCCTGCTGTCTCCTAAGAGCTACCTGAGCCGCCATGACCCGCTGCCGTTCCGCTATTAAGATGCACTTCTCGCACATGCATTCCTTGAACCGACAGTAACGCTTGTGTCCCTTCAACCATGAGAGCACACCGTGGTTTCGACATCGGGCGCACTTGGGTTGCCGCTGCTGGACCCGCTGCCCTCCCCCCGCTGTAGGGGGTGGTTGCATGAACACATACGGCTGCGTAGCCTGGGGGAACGGACTGAGGCCGGTCTCCATCCTCCTCTGCAAATATTTTGACAGTTATGTCAATCTAAACCGTAATGTCTAGAGGCGATGAAACACACTCTTTAAGCAGCCACCCAACTAACTAACTAACAAACTTGCGTATTACATTGTATGCGTGTGTGTACCTGGAAGATATCGCATTGTAATCCGGGGCATTTCGTTCCAGGGATTGGGCGAGACTATTATTTCACAGGCGGGGAAACTGAACACACGGTGTGCGTTTATGAGATTGTGGCTAATAATTTGAAATCATACAATTTCCTGATTGTCCCAAAAATGTACATTTAATACGTGCTGCGGCCATTTGCTGATCTGCACCTTGTGTGCGTGCGCGTATGCATGTGTGTGATATACACCCGCCCAGTAGAAAGGAACGTATTCATTGGATTTCATTTTAGCAGATTTGTTACTTGCTGGGTGTTCGGGTTTTGATCTAAATTTGTGCACTTTGCTGTCAGTGAAATAAGCGAAAATAAAACTAGGCAATAACTAAGACATATAAATAGTAATGCCTCGTATATCCCACCATGGAGCTAAAAAAAAGTTTAGCTCCATGATCCCACGCAACTGAGCTAACACACCACCCATATAAAATAATAGTAGAGTCCTGGACAGTTAGACATCCTCATTTGTAAGGTGAGGTGAGTTAGCATTGTACTGAACACAAAATGAGGATCATTTAGTCGACAAAACAGCACTATTTAGTACAGCAGTGAATAAGTAACAATCACCATCGCTGAGATCGGTCGGCGTGGAGAGAATGAACACATACAGGTGACCCCCTGCAGAGGCGCCCCATCAAGCGGGCTAATTGAGGCCATTCTCGGGCAGCACACTGTTTCGTCTTCACTGATACACAGTAATTCTTTTGGCCCGGGAGAGGCAATTAGCGTGCTAAGGAATTTCAACTTTTTATCGATTTCCTGCCCGGTTTCAGATCCACTGACAAGGGAGGAGGTATCTACCACACCTTCAAAACATCTCACGTTGATATCACAACAAATTTCGATGACAAGTCTTAGTTAAACCCCGTTTTTTTGGTAACAAACAACTACTGTATGCAGGAATGACGAATTGTTAAAAGTTCGATACACACCCCAGTATGCTTTTGAAATCAAAATCCAATTACCGTTATTGTTGTATTTTAAGGTCGCCAAACGCGGTCAACATTTTGGATTTTATAAAAAGACAAATGTCAACTGGGAGGATACATCCATCGACGATTTCAACTGTCTTTTGTAGACTGTAAATGCCAAACAATCCTGCTTGAGATTGATGAAAAGACGGGTCCGAGACAAAAATACCGATATGTAATCACGACGCTGCGGTAAACAGGCAACTCTCTACATTAAAATTGACAAGAGCGTTTTATTACTAACAATATTTAAAAACTTAATATTTCAAATATTTGCGAGCTTTACCAGTGCCAACCATCACTCCATTCATAATTTCAGCTCAAATACGAACCAAGGAGCTACGATATTTGTTGAAATAACACTAAACATTTAAAGTTGATTTCTTATTTTTTCATCATCTCTTGAATCATAATCGTCAATCTACCAGTATAATATAACAATATATAAATGTATAAAATCACAAATATCCAGGAACGTTTACTCTCTTGCATATATTTATTTACACATAAACTATTAAATTAGTTCCACCGCCATATACCTCCATCGCCATTCCTTCACTCCAACGCACGTGTATCTAAACAGCTACTGGGCGACAACTGTATTTTGTTAATAAAGACACAAGATTTGTTTTACAAACAATGAAAGGCATTGTTTTTACTCTCGAATGGGCTGTGTTTGTTTACACTACCAGACACTTACGCTGACTGCGATTGCTTATTCAAATTAGTTACTTAAATATACACAGAATCGCACACACATCATTGTTATATGTTTATTTCATACAAATGATGATCCATGGTGACTGTATTCAACGTTTGTGTTTCAACATGTATTGCTTGTTCTCTATTTCTGATCAGTTACAGTGTGTACATATGGGCGCAAGAGAGACATTGTTGATGCCACGTAATATATAAACTGTTGTCACTGTTTTAACACTTGATACAGGAATATAATGAACTTATTTTGGCTCATGCCGCGACAAAAACCATGTAGGAAACTAGAATGCAAATGACATCCGATGAAAAACAAAAATCAAGAAACAAAAACAAAATACTTTTAAACACTCAAATCAATAAATACAGCAGTGCATGGACTCGTGGTGGGAATTCAAGGTGAAGTCGACTCCCCGCTGTGCAAAGGTAAGGTCGCGGACTTCACTTTTTTCACATACGGACGGCGTACTATGCAAATAGAAGGAGATCACCTGGCAAACCCCCCACTGCGAAATGCGGGTGCATTCTTTCCTTTTTTTGAAACTGTCAAAAAAGTTTCCTTAATTCTACTATACTGTCAAGTTTCGTTGTTTGGAGGTGAATGTCAGCCTGAGGCAATTTTGGGATACCTCGCTCCATGACGATCACACAATGTAGGATACATCTTTTGAGAGGGAGACAGCTATGCCCTGTGGCGTGTTTTGAACACTCGAGAGGTTGCTTTGAGACCATTTATAGATGTTCATTTATTTCGTCCAGTGTCATATCATACTCATTGGTTGAAATAATTTCAAGTCATGAGCTCAATGAGTGTCCTTTTCTTCGAAAAAAAAAATTATATCATACGCTAGGGGATTTAGCGAAAAGCTAGGCTTCTGGTATTATAATTTCGCACGTAACTACTGACCCCCCAGTTCCCTAAGATGTATGTTAGTCAGTTCGGTTGATCGCCTTTGATATAACAATCTAACAGCAATGTTTGTTTTTTTAATGTGGGAGAATGTGTCTAAACCAGGAGCTACTAATTATAACAAGCCGGAAGGCTTGTTAGCGATCCGCTCCGCTCAAAAAACAAACATCGTGTTTTCGGCTGTTTCCATGGTAGGACATGAACGTGATGCTAACGTCGGTTCATAACTGAAACCGGGCCCGTAAACAAAGTTCGCCAAAAAACATTCAGTATTTGGAAGTCACTTTACTTTATTACTAGCACGTATTCTGCTGTTATAATTATTACTTCCGACCGTTTTGCGGCTGCATTTTCTAGATTCCTTGATTGAAGGCGGCATTGAAGTTGCGTTGGGATTACGTTGATACAGCGTAACAATGTCAGCGCCGGTGAACTTTGCAACATAGCCAAAATAAAAAGCTTGATCATTTAAACACTGATATTACAAGACTGGTAGGAGAGATCACATTTTGTGCTAAATCATTCAAAAATCATTTTTTTTTTCTGTTGCCATGGCAGTAATAGGCCAGGATTTTTTCCAGTTAGTGACGGTATGATCTGTCTTGCCAAGTATGAACACAATCTGCCAAGCCAAACAAATCACAGAAGAGTTAAATAATCGTCATTGGTGAAAAGTTACCTCAACTTTGAGTTCAAATTTCTCGGTAATGAAAAAATATATCAAAAAAAGTAGCTTTGTGTCCACACTCAAGCTGAATAGAATGAGCTATGTCCGAGGTGTTTAAACCTAAATTTGTAGGAGGGGATACATTTGGCGCGAAGCTATTCAAAAAAGGCTATTACTATAGCAACGGTGGACCAGAATTTGTTTCACATTTTACCTATTAACTAGAGTGAAGGTGTGACCTGCCTGCCAAGTTTGAGTGAAATCGGCCAAGCCAAAACAATTTCAAAAGAATTAATACGTGAAGACACTGGAAATCACACACACACACACACAATGATTTTAAGAGCAATCCTAGCGGAGCGCCAACAACCGTGGAGATATAACCTCACGTTTGCCTGTGCCATCTGGTCAGATTACAGCTGCAGGTGTATAGCGTCCCCAACGCCGAAACACTATTTAACATGTGCCATTTTGGTGGACGTGTGAATTGTGAACACTCATGTGTGACATAATTTCAAATTATGTCGAACTCAATTACAGTAACATACGATGACGTCATGGTTTCATGTGATACGACGTAGCCCGATAAAAAACACGTACTCCCAAATCGTACAACCATTGTATATGAATGTTTTGCCTTCTCAGTAGTCCATACTAAATATTGAATGGCGTGAACAGGCGCGACTGCCTTTATATGTGAAGCAGCAATTTATGCCTCTAAACGAGTAACTTGCTCTACCAAAATATTCACTCCTATTTGCGTGTTTTTCTAAATACGTACTTTTTTGCGTACCCGCCTTTTTGACGAGAAGCCCCAACTGACTAGTCAACTCAACCGAAAAATGTAACAACCGCAATTATCTTTAAATTTATTAACTTTTTTTTGTTAAACATGTTATACAATATTTATCTGCGATTCACTTGCGTCTCATTTAATCGTTCCGCGACGTTCACTGGTTGACACGTCATAAGTTATTCCCACGGTCAAAGTTGGCAGTGCTGCATGAAACAAACATGCATTGTCCTTGAATTTGCAAGGTTTAGACTGTGGTTTAGAGGGGGGTGGGGAAAGCTCCAGTAACGCCATTCAGATGAACTAAATAGATTCGAATACTAAAAGTGACCAAAATGCGTTCAACGTTTGTCGTAGAGGGCGCAGTAAACCGCACTGCGCACGTAAACATGTGTGATTGTCTTTATATATGAAAAAGGCAATTTATACCTCTAAACGAGTAACTTGCTCTACCGAAATATTTACTCCTACAGTGGTAGTGGCACCG